CAGCCTGGGTGGTTCATGCGGTAGAAATGTAGACCAGCTGTACCAACCGGCAGCTTTGAGTTCGGCACGAGCTTTGTTGACGTCGTTTTCCAGCGCTCCACTGGAATCAATGGCGTCGAGAAAGCGCATGCGATGGGAGCTCTGCTGACTCTCAAGCTTGATCAGGTTAGGCGGCTCAATGGTGGTGAGGCTGATTGACGTAGTGTGGTACTCTGGGTTCGAAGTGTTTGGCGCTCGGACGAGGAACTTTCGCGCCCAGTCCTTCAGATCAGAGTCTGGCTCATAGCCTTTATAGATCTCGTTGAGCACGGCTACGGGGTCTTCGTTGAGGATGCCATATGCGTTCATTCGATCGAGAGCATAGCTCTTGCAGTCTTCGAAGCCCATCAATGTACCCAGCTTGGCGAACTGTACATCAGTCAGAACGCAGGCTTCACTGGTCGTTGCTTGGGGTTTGATGATGGGTGGGCCTCGACGTTCGATGCCCAAACCTGCTGCCGCGGCGGCGAATGGGCGTGGGTCAGGCCGGTAGGAGCCAGTGTGCAGAAACTCCAGGAAGCGGACGAAGGTGTCTTTAGAAACCTCCTTGTGTACCTTCAGAAAGCGGCTACCCGCCTTTTCAAATGCCCTCACCACGCCCAGAGACTCTTCAATCTTGTCTCCATCAACGAGGACAGGCTTGTCTTTATACATGAACTCGACCGACTTTGCAGAAGGTCTAAGACGTGCACGGTGTCTCGTCTCGAGCTCATGACGCCGCTCATTGTACGTTTGGACTTCCGGCTCGCGGACGCACTTGGGCTGGTCGAACAGCGGCTTGCAAACCTTCCCGTACCACTTCTGCACTTCGCTCTCGGATGGCCCCTGCACGATGCTATGGCAGTGGCTGCAATACCATCGCTCCCGGTCCTCACGCTCAACTACTTCTCTCCTTCTTGGACTGTAATATTCCTCGGCAATGTAGCGAATGTTGGAAGGGCCATGTCCATAGTTGAGAGGCGACAACTCCCTCCCGTGCACAGCGGAGAGCTTTTTAATGGTAAATATGATCTTACCGAAATGCACGCCATGATCCAAGCGTCCATAGTCCACCTCGTCTTCTTTCTGTGCGCCGCAAGCGACCAGAAGGTATGCGTGTATCATGTGATGGATCAGAACAGCGACGATGTCTTTCGCCTTGGCGTATTCGAGCGCGTCCAGATTCAAGACGATAGAGATACGCTTGACCTCAGGATTTGGTCCTAGTCTGTGGGTGTAGGTGGCACCTGAGACGTCGGTACCCAGGGTGTCAAAATCGAGGAAGACTGCATTTTTCAGATGACCGGCAAAGACTACTTCATCGAGCTTGTTGAAGATACGATATGGGATCTCCTGGACCAGCCCGTCCCTTTCAAGTGTCGCAGCCCGTATCCGTATATTCTTCAATTTCTCGGCTGTGTCAGCCCAATTCTGTTCCAATCGATCAACGATAAATGCGACTGCCCAATCAATGTTCCACCCAAGATTCCTGTCGCACCTGAGGAAGGGATCTTGAAGTCGGACAGCGACGCTCGATAGCGGTGGACGATAATCATTAGGCTCGAAAGGGATGTAGAGATCTGATTCTGAATCAGAGGGGTAGGACTTTGATCGAGCAAGCGCTGCTCCGCCAAAGAAACGATCACCATACGGCAACAACGCATATTGATCGGGAGAGCCGAGCGTCATTGAGTAGTGAGAGTGATGTGAAGGTCCGAGAGTCTTGGCAAAAGGTCAAAGAATCAAGAATTGATCGAACCTCTGCGGGAGGGTAGTTCCATTGCTGTTTTATAGTTGGGTCGAGCGGGAGGCCGAAGCGGATGATGGCTGCTTCCAGCCGGCGCGACGTAGTCGTTGGCGGCAGCTTCTCCGTTCGGAGAGTCAGCATGGAGCACGAATCATTGTTGATGCGAACGTAATGCAAACGCTATCACGTATTGTTTGTCATGGGCAAGCCAAAGATCTGGGTCGGGGTTCGTTGGGCTACGGGCCAAGTGGTATACCATTGGGTCGATACTGGAAACCCGAAGGTTTACTTTGATCTGACAGCTGCGCGCGCCATGCCCATGGGCCAAGGTCGCGTGGTACCATGTAGGCGAACGTAACGCAAGGTTGCAAAACACTGGCTGCTGGAACGGATGTGCTGGCGCTGGTAGGTGGGCGGCTTTCGGCGCCGCTTCTCACTCAGCCTAACAAGTGTCAGTACTAACGGAGACATGCCTTGTGGGGATTAGATGCGAGGACGACATGATGGAGTTGACACGGGTCGAAGGCTAGGTGAAAATAGTAGTATTTATTTAGCGAAGAGCGCAACGAACGCCAGTCGCGGCTCCAATGATCGAGCAGGAAAACAGATGGGATATACAGAGCACGTAAAGGGGAGCGAAAATGAAAGCGCACTAGATGGTGAAGCGCCTGACTGGTAGCCGAATATCGTTCCCCGAGTTTGTCGTAACACATGAACAAAGACGGGTGATGCCTCATTCTTAGCCGCTGGGGTTGCCACGGCTGATCGGTATATAACAGCGAACAGGAATCCGGACTATCGCGCTGTCATTACCAGCCCTGACATTTAGTAGCGTGGGCGGTCGTCAGGACGACCGTACTCGTCGACAGGCCTTCCGCTGACGGAGCCAGGACGCGAACCAGGGCGCGAGCCAGGGCGCGAACTGGGACCCACACTCCTGCCGCTGCCGTCGCCGTAGTGCTTTCGCCTGAGAGCGGCTAACCTCTTCTTCTTGGTGTGCGCATTGATGTAGGTGCCGATGATGAAACCGACAATGTTGAAGAAGGGCACCCAGGTGGTCTCGGGCAGGAACTGCTGGGCGAATGCCAGCGAGATGGGCGAGACGATCCAGCTGACCTTCATGACGGGCCAGAAACCGGCCCTGACGGTCGCCTTGACTTGGTGGAAGGTGCGAGCGCCCGCGATGAGGGCCATGGAGACGAGGTAGACGCTATTCTGGATGGGCGAGATCTGCGACTGTTAGCGACGTGCTGACGATTGACGGCCGTTCGGGTCTGGACTCACGATCAAGTTGCTGAAGAGAATCTGCAGGACCTTGGCCTTCAAGCTCTTGCGCCCCTGGAAGACCTTCTGGAGAGCGCTAATCAAGACGTGTCCAAGGGGCGCGCTGATCAAGGCACCGTAGATGGCCATCTTGGGAACACGCGAGGTGAAGTAGTGGCCCGACTTGCTCCTGTCGTGGGCGATCCACGATGCGAGGAACTCTTGGAGACCAGAGAGAGTGCCCGATGTCAGCATCTTGGTGCGCAATGGGTTGCTCTGCAGCTGCTTGAGGTAGGCCTGGCGCGCGTGCCGTCAGTGAAGGGCTCGTCACATGTTTCGTCGCACAAGACTCACAGCGAGATAGCCATTGGGACCGCCGCCTTTGGTGAGGGCCTGGCCGAGCTCGTGCATGAGGTCGCCATCCTTGACTTTGCTCGCAGCGTCGGCAACGGCGGCCGTCGCCTTGGTCGTCGTCTCCTTCTCGAATTTGACCGACATGGCGCCTCAATGCGATGCGACAGCAGCAGACAGCGGATGGGCGCGTGTGGGAGATGGGGCTGCGGTCGACGAGGTGTTTTGTGGGGGAGGGTTGACGAGCTGGCCAGGCGTCGGGATGGCTGGGGATGAAGTGTAAACACCTCGGACGACTTGGGTGCTCCGTGCTGCTAGCGCCGAGCCCAAGATGCGGAAGCGCGTGGTCTGGCACAACAACACGACCTCGGTTTCGGCTATGGGTAAGGACGATAGTGCTCAGCCAACTTCCTCAGTTCCAGCCTGCGATACCTGCAGACTCTTTTGAGGAATGCTGATGAAGCTGGGCCACACGGCATGCCGAGGGCGCGTTCGCCTGATGCTTTTGGCGGATGGCAGCGCGTCGGAAGCCGCCGCCAGCACTTGTTTGCACCGAGCCAGCTCGAGAGTCGCTCCCACGGCTCATTACAGGCTCTGCACCCAGCGACAATCGTGATTTACGTGGGCGATGGCGAGTACAGTCATGCGCAGGGTTCATCGCGGTAGGGGACCCTTACGCTGTCGTTGTCGATCGTGAAGTGATTTCCCTGAGCTCTTATCGCTGACTGATCCTGGTCCCTTCAAAAGCCGACGACATCATCACCAGCCCTCGTGTGAGCAATATTCTCATGGAATGTGCACCGAAGGGGTAAGACATCAAACCGGTCCTCCATGATTTAGACGTAGCCGTGAGTTAGCACCTACACGTTCAGATAACATGCGTCGAGGTGCCACAATGTTGGATTAGACACATTGTTTGTACGACCCCAAACTTCTTCGTAAACGCCATCGCCTCTCATTTCCTACCCCTCACATGGCATCACGTCCTGGCATTCCACCTGGCCTGATCTCGCCCCGCATGGCCTTCTTCGCTCACCGTGGCTTTCTTTTCTTTGTCCTGCTCCAAAGCGTCGTCAAAGCGCTTTCGTTCATTTCATTTCGTCGTTTGTATTGCGAGACAACAACAACAAAAAGTCAAGGCACGTGCAAAGACCGTCAGAGGGCTTCAACATTGGTAAAATCGGGTACCTACGAGGTCAGGCCAAACCCGCAACGTGCAAAGCCGCCAAGTGGAGCATGGCCAGCGGGTGACAACTCGTGTGAACGGCCGTTTCCAAAAGACTTAATTGGTTTCGACTGCCCTCTTCCTTCCGTCTTGCTAAAAAAATTACGAGTTGATTAGAGACGACTTACCGAGGTCGCTCTTGCTACGCCGCCGCTGTCTTAGGGTCCACGCCTTCACTCACTCCTCGCAGTCTAGCGTGAGTGCACCTGCCCTGTCATTGTCTCGGAACTGCAACTGCAACTGCCACGCTCTTCCGGCCGCCCACCTTTGGTCCTCCTTTCTGCGGATCAATTGTCGCGTGTGTCCCCTCCTGGCGACTTGAGGTCTGCATACAGCCGATCGTCAGCGATTGCGAACCTACCAACCCGCGGTATTCACCTCGACCGGACCTTCACAATGGGGAAACGCCTGCGAGTCCCCAATTGCACCCACCTGGACATGGACCGCGTTTTCGGTCAGGAGCAGCACTGCGGCGTCTGCGGGCGCTCGCCATCCATCGGGTTCCTGTACGAGTGCAGACAGGATTGCGAACCCCATCTTCTCCGCACACTACTAGCTAGGGATCAGGATAGCATCGAGCCAGTGAAGTCTGCGTTGCGCCAGGAGTTGGAAAAGATTGGGTTGGGTGAGAGTATCATTATCACAGCGGAGAGCGGACATTACACCGACAAGCAACTGAACAAGCTCAAGGGCCTGAAGCTTGAGCTGCAGCAGGTCATCTCGGACACGCAACAAGCCGCTCAAGCCAGCGATGTCGTCTCTAGACTCACCGCTGCCATGGCTAAGGCGCCATATAGCACCGACGGGGCCTTCAACAGTATGCCTGATATGAACGCAGTGAGTAGTTTCCGATGTATTGAAATTAGCAAACAGACTACTAATCAGCCACAGAAGCCCATGGGATGCAACGTAAGAGCCTGCCACACCTGTCGCCCGTACTATCGAGAACGAATGTACATCCCCTTTCAAGCGGTACTCAACGCAGAGTTCCCGCCCATGACACGAGAAGACATGGAGGAGCTCCCAACCAAATCTGCACACATCATGCGTACCATCGGCACTCGAGTTCAGCCATTGCCATCCTCGACAACTCTAGGCACCTCTCCATCGACATTGCCCAACTCGAATTCCTTCGCTACATCTGCAGGCTCACCACTTACCGCCTCTTCCAACACAACCGATTCAAGCGAAGCGACGTTCAAGACGACGCAAACTGACATGGACGAGATCTCCGCTCAGCGTCGCCCCCGCCGACGGTTCTACAAGATGGGTCGTCGATCGTCCGTGGACATTGCCCGCTCCCTTTCTCGCGGATCCAGTCTCCTCACACCTCAAGGTCTCAAATCCGCCGTCCAGGGTATCTTCCGCCCAAACCGAGAATCCAGCTCCGAAGGCTCTAATATCACGCTCCCACTTCCAAGGACTGGCACAGTTCGCGATAACACGGGTTCTCCGCCTGTAGGCGAGTTCGACCTCGGAGCTTTACGTCGCGTTCGGAAGCAGAAGGAGCGCAATGAGGTCAAGAACGGAACGTATACGGGTGGCTTCGAAAATGTTACCGCACAAGCCACGGCGCCCAGTGACCCAGCGTCAGGAAACAACAGCAGCACCGACTCCGAGTTCTCGGTATACTCATTTACGACTGAAGAGGAAGAGAACGTCGTAGTAGAAGGCGTTGCTATCACGGAAGAAGCAGCTGAGACGCACACACCCGATCTTGTCGCTCTTAACGTCCCTGCTATTCATAAGCTGGAAGCGGTGATCAAGACCGCAGAGGTCGCGACTACTGAGATTGAAGAGGACGCGGATATTGGATTACAAAGCATCATGACGCAGGTGTAAAGAGAACTACAGTCTGAATTCCTGGGGCTGGCACATGGGTGGCCAGTAGAAAAGCGGATAAGGAGTTACGGTTTGATGATTTCATGACAACGGAGAAAGATCATGGTTCAAATGAGAATACGGCTGTTAATAAGGGAGGGAGGCGAACGGAGGAGGAGACTTGCTCACACGTCTCCTTTGATCCCCTCTTCTTGCTCGGATGATGACTAGAATAGTATCATTATCCGTAATTTAAAACTTTGCTACACTTTAATCAGTTGGAAGGATCAACACCCTAGAGCTTACGTTGACGCTAGACTTTCCAATGTGTTTGTTATATCTTAGTGTAGTCTTCAGGCCTGTTCAGCGTTTTCCTCGTACGAGGTGGCTAGACACACTTAGTAGAGATTGCAGTCAGTCCAGTGCAAGCTGAAAGCGAAAGAAGGCCCACATTTCCCATGCTACCAACAGCTACTTCCATGTGCGGGGTTCACAGGGTAATCATGATATTCATCTTTTCGTTCCACACCTATCATACAAGTACAACGTTTACAATTCCATCCCCAGCCAAGCCTCATCAATCTCATGCTTCTCTATTTACGACCAAGCTTCCACCTCGCAATCCTCGTCTGTATGTCATCCCATGTGAACTCTTTCCTCTTGAGCCCCTCCTGCTCACCCTCTTGCAGGACAACGGTCGGCGCTCCAGACCCACCTCCAATGTTCTTGACCTGGCCACCGAAAACATGGCGGGCCACTCTCCTGAGATCCTTTACGGTAACGTCCTCAATCTTCTTGCACATCTCCTTGACGCCCACTTTGCGGCCGTGAACTTGGACTTGCCTGCCCAGGTCTTCTAGTTCCACCATTCTGCTTTCGAGGTTCATGAGGAGTGAGGATCGGAGTTGGTTTTTCGCGCGTTGGACTTCGACGTCGTTGAGGGCGGAGTAGCCGGTTTCGTCGCCGAGCGATTTGAGTTCGCGGCACATGACTTCGAGCATTTGGGTTACGTGCGAGGGGGCGCATGAGGATGCGATGCCAAAGAGGCCGCTGTCGGTGTAGCTGTGGTTGAAGGCCACGCAGGACTCTACCCATCCGTGCTGGTTCAGTACGTTGGTGTAGAGACGCGAGTACATTCCCTTTCCTGGGCCACCTGCACTGAAGGAGCCACCACCGCCGAGCAGTGTTTGTAGGGTCGCGAGGGCGTAGATGTCGGGCGAGGAGATGGGGAGCGCTTCGAAGGCGAGGTGGATGTGCGATAGGCGGGGGAGCATGGGGTTTGCTGGTGGTGGGATTGGCGGTAGTGTGAGGAAGCCACCAGTGTATTGTGATGGTAGCGAGGTGTCTATCGGCGGGAAGTTAAGGTCGAGTGATGTATTTACGGAAGCGTTGGAGGTGGCTGATGTGGAGAGGTTTTTGAAGAAAGGTATCTTTGAGAGGAGTTTCGAGGTCTGCGGTGGTGCCCCGGTGGGTGTTGGGTGATCGGCCGTGAACATCTGCTGTTGCGGTGCGCTGTTAGAAGCCGAACTATTAGAGTCGAGACCGATGAGCGATGGGCCGGTGCCCTTCTCCATGTCGCCAAAGTACTCTTCTGTCAGGCGGACAGCTTCGTTGTGGTTGACACCGGCAAAGGCAACGACTATCCGGTCGGGCTTGAAGAACTCTTTTCGGTATGCCTCGACAACGGCACGGTTGATGAAGGGCAGGCGCTCCTTGGGACACAACAGCGGGTTGCCCAGAGTGTTGTCCTTGAAGGCTGCCATGTGTACCAGCTCCGGCAAGATCAGCTCTGGCTTGCTCCAGATCTCTCCAATCTCGTAATCGGCCGTCTCGAGCTGTTGCTGTACCTCGTCTTCCGTCACCATTGGATCCCGGATCGTCTCGGCAAGGACACCGACGGTGGAGGGGACGGCGGAGTTGAACGTGGCGGACTGGTACATGACCGACTCTCGGCTAGACGCGCATTGTATGTTGCCGCCCAGTGTCTCTACCTTCTCCATCATCTGGTCGCCCGAGGTGGAGCGTGTGGACTTGAAGGCCAGCCGGTCGATGATATGGCTGACTCCGCGCAGTGCATCGTTCTCGTACCGCGAGCCGGCGTCGACGTAGACTCCGATACCCGAGAAGTGGCCCGGCAGGGCTTCGGTGGCGACGCGGATGCCATTGGGGAGGGTGGTGATCTGGTCGAGTTCGGCGGGGTCCTGGACAGCAGTTTAGAATGGCTTCGGCTTGCTACGTGAACTCAGTGCTAACCCTCTCTTCAGCGACGGCCGTGGCCAGGCTCCGTCTGCCTGCGCATGGTGCTGACCGTGTGAGCGACGCCGAAGTCTTGGACAGTCCCCGGGATAGCGGTCGGTACGTGTGCGGTCTTAACATTTCTGGCGTGGGTGAGGGCAGCACCCGTCGCGCGTTCCGAAAAATTCCCCATCTCCGGATGACATGATGTCACGTGCGCGGAGACCCAGTGCAGCGGATCCCTTACACCATGAAGGCGGCCCCACACCGCAACGCTGCGATCAGCGCATGAACTCTATCTAACATGGCCATGTCGGTTTGGATGCGCTGATATATCCGCGGGGAACTATATTTAGTCGGACAAGCGCCGCCGTGATGCAGACACATGGAGCACGAGGGCGGAGGGGTTTCAGACGCCATCTGCCATCTGCTATCTTGTCATGGACCTGGACATGGATGGGCATGGACCTGGCAGCTGTTACCGTCCCGCGTGACGTTCAGCAGTGCATCTGGTAGCGACGGCCGACAAGAGCTGACTTCATCATGTCGACTCTGGAACCCTGTTACCAGTACATGCTAGAGGTCCGTCTTCTTGGTAGTCCCGCATCGCCAGTCTAGAGGCGGCCTGCTCCTCTTCTGGTTTGCTTGGCCCGTCCAGGCCGCCCTGGCCTTGTTCGCGCACCATTGCCAGTGTGCATTTGCATTCATCATTTGCCCCAGTGCCGCAGTGTCTCGGACTCTCCCACCCATGCGTGCTCTTGTAAACGGGCAAACTGCGTCGTCTGTCAAACGCTGTCGAAACTCGCGCATTCACATTCCCGCCCACGCCAGCTTCAGGCCTTAATCCTCGCTCTGCGCCGCTGACGGGGGTGATGTTCACCACAACAACAACCCCAGCCCTCCCTACAGTTGCGACTGCCGTCCCCAATTCGCCCTCGCAGCGACCCACGGGCGTCCACAGAGGTATCAGCTTCCTCCGAAACCTGCACCTGCACTCCGGCAGCCAAGCCGACGCTTCACGTGAGGACTCCCGAACCGGGACACGGCCACGCGCCTCAACACACACTCCACCTGCCTCGCCCGCCTTTGCCTCGTCGTCCCACCAACACACGGCCGCCCGTCCAGATTCACTGTCGAGGAGCCACACGGCCGATACCCACCCCCAGCCTCCCTCGACTGACTCCCCGCCCACTACCCCCAAACCCACCATGACGAGAACCCGTTCCGAGACGGCTCAGCCCCAACTGCAAGTGCGCAATAACACCGGACCCACGCCCACCTCAACACCAGGGCCCGCCACCGCCCAACCGATGGAAGGCGCTCCCGAGAGCGCGGGCGCCGTCAAGCACCTCCCCTCGATTCGTTTCATCCCGCATCAGGACCCCCGAGCCGGCAGACCTTCGCTGATATTCCCCACCATCAACCGCACCCTCCCCGACGAGAGCGCGATTCTTCGCGTAGGAAGATACTCGGAGCGCGACAACCTCCCTGAAGTCCAAACCAATGCCCCGTCGGCTGCGGCCATCGGCTTCAAGTCCAAGGTGGTCAGCAGGAAGCACTGCGAGCTGTGGTGCAAGGACGGCAGCTGGTATATCAAAGACGTAAAGAGCTCCTCGGGCACCTTCCTGAACCACATCCGTCTAAGTCAGCCGAACGTCGAGTCAAAGCCCTTCCGCATAAAGGATGGCGACATCATCCAGTTGGGCATCGATTTCCGTGGCGGCGAGGAGATGATCTTCAGATGTGTCAAGATTCGCGTCGAGTGCAACCGCGGCTGGCAGCAGGGACTAAATACTTTCAAGTAAGTTTATTTGTCCGCGCGGTAGAAGGCGACTACTAACCCGCACAGCAAACAAACCCATCAACGACTACGCGCACTTGCCAAGAACAAGAAGGAGGTCACGGGAGACAATGCTTCCACACACACGTCTGAATGTGCGATTTGTTTGATGTCCATAGCCGTACGTACTCCCGTAGTATCGAGACCTAACCGTACTAATCAGCGCACAGCCATGTCAGTCCCTGTTTGTAGCACCCTGCTCCCACGTCTGGCACTACAAGTGTATCCGTCCTATTCTCAATGGACCCACATGGCCCAACTTCCTTTGCCCAAACTGCAGGGCGGTCGCAGATCTAGAAGAGGATGTAGAAGACATGGGCGAGTTCGAGGATTGGGAGGGTGACGAGGAGGTAGTCAACGGTGACACGGCTCCTCACGCCAGCGCGGAGCAAGGTGACCGTCACGTCACTCCCCGTGCCTCTGTCGCCCAGATCAATGGCACCGATTCAGACGGTGGTGTTGATTTGACGGATCTACACCATCAGATCACAAACATCGAGAACCAGACTGTACTAGAGACGCCCGATCGCCGCCTCACGCCACCAACATCGTCAGTCACACAGCCAGTGTCCATCAACGTCAACGGTGCGAATGAGTACGTGGGACTATCGCCTCTGTATCCTGCCGGCAGCAATGGCCTAAGCCCTGATCGCGTACAGGACGGTCCCATGACCCCAAGGAACGACGCCGGCCCTTTTGTGCTCGATGGTAGTGCGGGAAGAACAGCCGGCAGCCGCATGCGCGAGACTTCCCCTCCGTCTGATTCCGACAGCAGTGGAGCGCGAAGTAACAGTGGAGCACCGACTCTACCTCCGGTGCGATTTGACTAGCCGATCCGCAAACTGAGCGTGTTGCATCTTTCAACTTCTTTCTCTTGGAAACCTCTCCTTTCGGGCTCAGTTGCATATTTCCGGGCGTTATGGCGTGTACAAAGCGATTGTTATGATCTCCATGTAGGTCTGGGTGGGGGGATCATGTTGCAATGTGTTATAGTTCAAGAGTAAGCAAGACATACAGGAGGGCGGAAGAACGGTAGCTAATGTATTGTAACAAAGTCAACCAAATCTTCGCGCTTGCAGCTTTCTTTCCGTGTAGGACACATTCGTTTGGCCATTGTGCTTCTGGGGTATCTACGCTATGGAAACTCGTAAAGACCAAAACAAACATTAGTTCGTGGCTGACCCTCTCGTTATCTCGTCGTACTCCATGTCTTCCTTCAGATCCGCTCGTTGGATTTTCACTCGCAAAACGATTCACACTCAAACATGCCTCCCATAGCCCTCCCCTCGTGACTTGCCCTCCATTCTTCCAACAATACCATAACCTCCTGCCTCGTATCCTCAATGATCCCGTCCATCTTGATATCATTCTTATCGTATCCAAACGGATCCTCCAACTGAACACCAATACCCTCAATGCCATAGAGCGTGAACGCAATGATAGCCACAATGGGTACACTCCACCACCTGTAATCATCGACAATAGCAAATGGAAGCACACATGCATACAGCGCCAGGACCTGCTTCTGGTGAATCAGATGCGCGACAGGGATGGGCGTGCTGTGAATAGTCTCCATAGTGCCGTAAGCAGAAACGAGAGTATTTAGCTGAACAGTCATCTGTGAAGAAAGAGGTGCGTGGAACCAGCCTCTATCGTGGCCGCGGCGGATGTAGCCTTCCAGTAGAATCGTGAGTTGTAAGGGCAAGCCAAGACCTTGATCCTCGTAACCCATCAAGCCTTCCGGGAGGAGCGACACGTATTCGTCCTTCTTCATAGGTGTTGTGCCATCGCCGTTCTCGAGGGTGGCAGTCGATCCGCCGAGAAGCGGGGTTGTGCTTGTGCTGTTGTTTGTGAGAATGGGGGGATAGAACGGGCCGAAACTACCAGTGCGGTCGATATAGCTGGGGCGTCTGGAAACAGGGCGGGAGCGGTTTGGATAAACGCTTGGTTGAGGAGGCAAGGTAGCTAGACTGGCGGGTGGGATGTTGAACTCCGCGCGGAGGTTGTGTTTGATCGAGTACAAGACGGCTACTAGGACTCGGACTATATTCTCTGTATCCCTTCTTTCCTCTTCCGTTGCATGGCCATCTTTGTCGCGGGAATTGACGAGACAGATCCGAGCGAGGTTGCGGACGCAGGTTCCGATTGTGGTGAGGCAGTTGCGGCCGGTCCAGAAGCGGTCGTAGCCGGTGCTATTGCGGAAGACTAGCATCAGACCGACTACTATGGAGAGCGAGGGTATGATGGTCGCGGGGATGGATATGCTGTCCACATAGCGGGTATCGATGTAGACGATCAGGACGGTGAAGAGCGAGTGGAGGAGCACGGGTATGAGGATGATGTCGTGAACAGCGCCCTTTGAGAAGCGGAGGACGAGAGGGAGACGACGGGGTTTACGGCGGAAAGCGTGAGCGAGAGGGTAGGTCGGTCGACGCGTTGGGATCTCTGGAGTCGACATGATTGCGGAGGTGGGAGGTGAGAGCGAAAGCGATGGTGTTCAACGCGACCAGGCGGTGTATAAGAAGGTGGAGAGAGAGCCCGCTCTCGTATCTTCTCCCCGCGATAGATGAGGCGGTATGAGTGGGGACGGTATGGGGAAGACGACGAGGTGGCAGGGATCCGCGCCGTGGGCCGAGTCGAAGCTTTCTATACGAAACCCAAATGGCATAGAACAAAGTCCATGACGACTAGCCTTCGCCATGGGAATTCTGCGACCATGGCTCACGAGACCTCACGCGATCGGTGATGCGAAGGTAGTGGTTGAGCTTCTCAGGGTCCATCTCTCGTCACATGTGAATGAAGATGGATGGGTCGTCGCCAAACGTGGGCTCCACGTGCGGGCCGATGACGCGATAAGCAACTTCCCGAGCAAACCTCGGTCAACACGCGGGTGGTGTCATGTTTCCTCTACGCGCGACATCAACAACACCATGCAGGCTCGATAGCACCGACACTCCTTTTTGCTCGCCTCCAAGACTCCCTTGAGCGTCTACCCTAATACTCACTTTCTCAAAATGGACGACTCGCATCCGGACTCCACTACCATCCCTTCTTCTACCAGCGCAAACCAGCCACCTCCACAACCCGATGCGAAATCTACACCCACACCACCGTCGCGATTGACAACGATACAAAAGCTGCGCTTCCTCCTCCTAAGACACCTCGCCAGAACCGCTAGCACCGCAGACCGCACGCTCGTCCGCCTCTCCAAACTCCTCTCCACACCCAGCGGCACCGACGTCCTCCTCTGCACAACCTCGTACACCCTAACCCTCATCCACGCCGTCCTCTCCCGCGTTCTCGAACGCCGCCTCGCATCCATCGCTACAGAAATCGCCGAGAAAGCAGAGGGTGTCCTACTCCCCGGCGAAACGCTCATAGCCTCCCTCCCAGCACCCACGAGCACAAAAGTCATCGCACAAGTAGTTGGAAGTTCGAAAGCGCTTGCGGCTGTCATATCCGATTTCCGCATCTTCGTGAGATTATGGGGCGTACTGGGCTTGTATACTTGGGCGCGGGATACATATCAAGACCGGTTGCCGGAAGATGCAAGTAGGAAAGAGAAGATACTGAGGGGATTGACGTGGACGGCCATCATGTCCTGTATTGGTTTCCAGGTCTTGGAGAACGGCGCGTACCTGAGCTCAAAGGGCGCGTTGACAACGGCGAGTTGGACGGGCGATGTGGGTAAAGCCCGGGAGAATGCGTGGTGGTTGTGGAGTTCGAGGTTTTGGGCTGCGTATGTGGGTGTCGAGTTGGTTCGTTTGGGTGTGCAGCAGTATTACGCTTCGCCGGCTACATCGACATCGGTGAGCTCGGGTGATGGGGAGAAGGAGGATAAGATCCAGAGGGAAGAGCGGATCAAGGCCAGGAAATTGGAAAACTGGCTGTGGTGGAAGGATCTTGCGTCTAATCTGGCATATGCGCCCATGACTGTTCACTGGTCATTAGAACAAGGGTTGCTGAGTGATTGGGGTGTTGGTGCTTGTGGTATGGTTGCCGGTGGGGCGCTGTTGGCTGACGCGTGGAGGAAGACTGCGTGAGTGTATGGCAGGCTCCATCAAGTGGGATAGCACCGCAGCGTATTCCTCAAACTCACACATTTCCTACCGCGAATCATCACATGGCCAGTCGAGCACAGTTGGGTGGAAAGGTTCGATTGTTCTAAGTACGCTTCCGTCTCGTGTTGAACAGACAGCCAGACGTACAGAGACAGATCTACAAAGAGCGGAGTGCGATACAGCAAAAAAGAAGAAGAAATGGTAATGACTGTCCAAATATCCACGCCGTTGCCAGCTCCGTCTACGCCTCATTCATCGCTCACTCTCAACGTCCAACAGATGCGAGAATCTAGCAAGTAACCTTGTAGCTCACTTTGCCATCAACATTCTTGCATGACTGATTGTAGTTGGGCTCTTTCTTGTACACAGTAAAGTCACCAGTGCACCTGTCTCCAGAGTAAAGGTTCACTACACATCCGTCATTAGCGTCCCGATCGCAAGTACAAGAATGCTGAGGGCCGTAGACTTACCTTGGCAGTTTCCCTCTAGGTAGTTGACTCTGATGCTCGCAGCATTGGGTAGGTCACCGCATACGTCCTTGTTAACCGTGGGGTAGTGGTTAAGGCGTCCTGGTTCACCACTGCCCATGCAGCCTCGGACGTCCCAGGTGTCGAAGTCGGCCTGGAAGGCACTCACGCTGGCGCTCATGACAGCGAAAGCGGACAAGGTGGTAATAGCGGTGGAGAAATGCATCTTGAGGTGTTAGACCGGAAGGTTTGATAGTTCGAAAGAGTTGTAATGTAGTGGATATGGAAGTGGGAGAAGATGTGTTGTGAGCTGTTTGAGTGTGCCTCTTCATAGACTTTATACATATTTTCACATATATAGTCTCTCCCTCTCAGATATAATGTTGCCTTCACTGATCGGACGTAAGATAGTGTTGGTTTTCGTGCCCTTTTTCCTGCCATGGTCACATTGTCAGCGGTTGGCGAGCAGTTTGTCAAGTTTCGTTGCGATGACATCGTATCAAGTGATACTTAAGAGTATGTTATAGACCTCATGATGGCTCCGGTGGAGTGTGATGATGGACACTGAGCTGATCTTATGTTGTTGGCTGGGCGGTAACACAGTCAGGACCTCAGGACCCTTGACGCAGTAAGCGCGCGTATCCAATAGCTTAATTCTGACAGGGTGCTATATGGTGTATTATAGCTCGATGTGATCATGCGCGTCGCATAGCCATACTATGTCCGGACGTGCGCTCTGGTCGAATGCTGGTTTCGGACAGCTTAGGACGGTTGTCGGTGAAGGCATCGAAGATGAACACCGTTATTACTAAAGATATTACTGGAATAGACACACAAGTGTCTCTCTACTCTGATTCAGAATCGCGTTCCGATGATGACTCGCCACTGGGACTCTCAGTCCTGCTTCTCTTCGCAGAGCGTGGTTCGTGAGGATCTGTTCTACAGCCCTTAGCATCACCGTACCCCTTGCAACAACTCCAGACGAAACCTTCAGGATACTCCTCGCGCATTTCCTCGGTATCGATCTCTCCGTGGCAGTTTTCATCATGATCGGCCCAAAAGTCCTCATCTTCAAACACCTCCAAGTCTCCTTGTATAGATGTGAGTGATACATTTATGGACTTTGATGGTCGGGATCTTCTTACCTGGATGCCATTCGCACCTTTCCTCCTTAAGTATATCAAACTCTTTATAACACTGCACACAAATGTCGAAGCGTCGACCGCGCTTCTGAGCTCTTGGTAACTTGAAGGCGGAATTCTCTGCGAGCGGCCCATCAAGAAGCGACACGGCTGGCCGCCCTGCTGCTTCTTCCTTCACAAAAAGCTTGTCGTGTGCTAGCTTGAAAGCTTCTGGCGACTCGTTGCATATTTCGAGCAGGACAGTTTGTAAGCGCTTGTGAGTCGAGGTCTTAATGACTTCCTCTAACTCTTGTCGCGCAAGGTGTTCTCCACTGGTGACGCGTGACATGGCGCTAAATAAAAGCGACAATGAATGAGATGAGTTCGTTGAAAGAATGCTACGCGTTCTGACAGAAGGTTCGCGATAGGAAGATTGCGGATTGAGCGGCTCACTAGTACAAACACGAGATAGCGTGCCTTCCGGACGCGCTACCACGTGAAAGCACGCCACATATCGAAGTCGAACTCATCACGATGCAGCAAGAAGCTTGAAAATGCATTCAATCGTTTCAAAAAAGGTATATACATGAATGATTGCCTCCAACATGTCCGACACTGGTATGCGGATGAAAAGTTCTTTGGGACGCAACATCGATCCCTCGTTACAACTCGCCGATGCACTGCATTCTGGGACCGTGCAAACCGCTCACCCTCAGATGCCGCCAACGACCCTCTGATGGTCTTCACGATCAATTCCTTACAACAAGTTTACCATCCGGAGCAAGCAACAAACGCGTTGCCACTGGCACCAGTGTGTGTAATCTCTCCCGCACGCTGTCCAGCAGTGTTGAAGATGACACGATCAGCACCCGGAGATCCTAAACACCTCAGTCAGCACGCATTCTCTAATTGGCCCTTTTTCTCATCAACACATATTGGACTTACCACCAGTGTAAGCACCCGAGGTCCTCAGCGGGAACTCTTCATACGGGCCCGAAACCAAAAAGTCAAAGCCCTCATAGTTGTTATACCGATGGGGGTAGGTCGAGCTACCAGCTTCGTCTCCGGCCTGGTAGAGCTTGTAACCCGCACTGCGTGCAGCAGAGACTTGGGATGAAGTGTAGCATGTTGAGCCGCACTTGACGTAGCAAGATTGTCTAGACTCGACAGCAGCAATCTCAACGGGTGCCTCTTCGGAGACTGAAGTGGGGAGAGCGAGGGCAATAGGCGCGATGAAGAGGAGGATGTTGGTGAGGAACTTCATGTTGGCGGCTGGGAGAGAATGAGACGACGAGCGAGTGTCTTGTCGGGAATTGTGTAACGAGGGATCGGCGGGGCTGGTAGACCTGTCTTTCAAACAAAGGGTGCTACATAGTAGCTTTATACTGCCTTACTACCTATCACCCCAGTGTAGTCCAGCATTTAGTCCAGCGGTCGCCTCCGAACCATCTCAACCCTAAAGTGGAAGATCATACTCGAAAGCAATTAAACCCGGACGCAGAGGACCTTAGCACCTTTCCGGAAGGAACAATTGCTCCGCGAAGCCATGCAGCAGAGGCCCTCTCAAGCTGGGGTAGAGGAACCTATCACAGACTACCACTCCAAGCGTGGCACCTACAACACCATACTAAGCGCAGACCCTCGGTCCTTTCATACATCCACCACCCTCTCACGTTACCCCCTCCCATTCGCTCGACAACAACATCACGCATGAATTCCCGCTACCAAGACAACCGGAGCATCAACATCCCCAGCACCACCCCATGCATCCAGGACATGCGACTTCCGCCGATCAGGAAGGTACGGACAACGATTCGCCGGTTATCTCCCGGAACTAAGATGATGTGTTTCAAGCTGCTTATCGCCGGAGATCTGGCGGTGGTGCACATGTGCGTGTTCGATAGGCTGAGTGCGGTTAGGGATCGACAGGGAAACGCGGCAACTAGCGCTGGATTTGGAAGGTGGGCCTGGGCATTGGGTGTAGGAGGCATGTAGACTAGGAGATCGACCTCCACGACGGTAAGTGCGGATGGTAGTAGAAGCGAACGCAGCGATGCCGGCGGCTAGGGAGAGGTGTCGATTACTGAGCGAAAAGTGCCGGATGCGGTCTTGACCGTTGTTCGGTACTAATGATAAGCAGCTCGCCCAACGTGCACTCACTAACCGAGCGCGAAGATGGGTAGAACATGATACAATCTTCGCAATAGATAGAACACGATAACAATATCATTGTTGTACACTGTAAGCCTGCCTTCTGCGGCTATGTAAAGCATGTGCTGAGATCCAAACCAGCTGGCAATTTGCATAGCCTAAGCAATATAAGCATACAGTCCGTCATCTTCTCTTTCTAGGAATTCCTTCTCGATCAAGCGATCAATGTTTCTCTTGATACCGCTGACCTCCAATGTTCCTCTGTTCCTCGTCGCTGAGATGGTCTCGCTGACCAATTCCGCGTGGCTGATTCTCTTCCTCGCTTTGAGAATCCTGACAATGGCAGCTTGCGTCTCGTAGTTGCGGTCAGCAGCAACACGCTCGTGGGTCTCCTTGTTCTCAGCTGCTGTTTCCTTGAGCTGGACGGTGTTGACCTTGATACGGTACTTGGGGTCTGTGAATGACGCGTTGAGTGTGAAGGTGTCGGTTTCGTTGATCTCTCGGCCCTTGGGGTGCTTCGTCAATGGCCTGACTTTTGCGCAGGCTAGGGACTGTAAAGTGCGATTAAGCTCAGCCGGCGCTATCAGATGTTAGTGATGCGGATATAGTAGATCTAGCACGCAACTTACGTAGTCCAGTGGCTTGCTTGAGGTACTCGTAGTCAATGTGCTCATCATCCGCTCGGCCGTTGAAGAGCAAAAGAACGATAGCCTGGAAGGAAGACACCACCAACTCCTTGAGTCCCTTGGGAAACCTGGCTTTGATCTGGCAATGGGCGAGCGCGTGCTTGAACTCCAGCTTGCGACCAGAATGCTTGACTTTGTAGTGTGCTTCAAACTTGTTGATCGCAGACTGGATCTGCGGAGGTAGAATTACAGGGACTGTGGGGTACGTAGGCCAAGCTGACGCAGAAAGGACGTTGACGTTGAGATCCAGGCTGAGCTTTTCGTTGCGTTCCTCACTAATATTCTTGTACGAACTCATCTCTTCTCGTGACAGTTCGATGTCGCGGAACATCTGCTCGAGGTTGGCGGTGAAGCCGGCACCACATTCTGCAGTACGTTAGTATCTCAGCAAGTCGCAAATAGGTACACACTTACCAATCTTCAGTCTCGACAGCATGCTCCTCTCAGCGTCTGCACTCGCACTTCGGCCCATCAACAATCGTCTGGCCAGATCTTTCTTGTAGAAAGCTTCAAACACAGCCTTGCCGTGCAAGAAGCGGAACAAATCAAGAACCTGATCGAGCTGATTATTGACTTCTGTATCTTCATCGAAAACACCTTCTTCGTTATCTTCTTCAACTTCTACAGCAGCGGGCTTGTCTGCCTTGCGGCTAAGCTGTGCTGGTATCGCTTTTGCGCCTCCCCTCAGCAGCATGTCCACGTACTTGGCGATCATCTCGCCAGTCTTCGAGTTGTCCGTGCCCCAGCTTGCACTCGTTTTCTTTGTCTTGTTCATGAACTTGTCAAAAGATTCTCGCAAACCGTGACCCAACTCCTCATCTCGGTGGAAAGACGCCTTCCACAATGTGTCTAATTGGCGCTTCAATGTGAGCAGTTGTATCACCATGTTGTCCTGCTCCTTGTCGTTAAACACAATAGCTGTGCCTTCGTCCTCAATCCACTTTGTGAACCCTGGCCGTAGCTTTGAGCCAAGTTTCCTCCGCTCGAGTAATGTGTACAGTAGCTCAAGGTCTTCAATGGCGTTGGTTTCGAGAAGATCCGCAAGCTCGTCCTGATTGGTCAGTCGCTCCTCCTTCTTCGATATTAAGTGGTCCTCGAATAGTGTAAGGAGCTCTCGTTTAGTGGTGTTTGGGAGGCTGAACATGTCGACCCTCTTCATCTCGCGATCCATGAGTGCTTTCGAATTGCGGACGTATTCGGGTAGTGACTTTTCTGAACTCTCCGTGTTTGCCCACTTCGCAACGTATGCCTGACTGATCTCCATCAAG